GGCAGCTTAAAAAGACGACGACGGCGTGACATTGTTGACGTATGCGAAGACGCTGGCACAATCGTGCCACTGAACTATTTCTGCATTCATCGTTTGAGTGGACAGATAGAAGTAACACGAGACTTCAAGTTTAATGATGGGGACGAATTTGATCTGAAAATTCGCGTGACAGACAGCGACCAGTGGGGGAAAACTGCAAACACGGCAAACTTCAAATTGATATCAGGCGACGAGTGCAAAGATATCCGAGTGATTTATAACGAAGCCGTACGATTTTGTTCCGGGGTCTCGCGAGCTAATGGTCAAATGTCCTGCCCGGGTGCGCAGTGCCTAAAGCCTCTGTATAAATGGCGAGAGGCGGTTAACGCCAGTGAGAAGTTTAGAGTTGATTGCGCTTCTGATCCTAACAATATGGAAGCCGTGATACGGCAGCACTCCAGTTGTATTGGTAAGTCACGTGATTACTTGCAATACCCCGTTCACACGAACAAGTTAAGCGTGTTTAAAAGTGGTTTAACTAAACAAGGTTAAAACGTAGTTGCCCATACCTTGCGCACATACCCCACAACTAGATAAGGCAAAAACACGTTTTAATTAACGAAAATATCTTAACAAGTTAGTTTGAAATTTGTGTCCTCATTAATTGTGTGACTGGAAAGCCATTAAGTTAATAGAGGGGAATGACTAGCTATGAAACCCAACAAGGTTCTTTGTTGTATGTTTTTATTCCCCTTCCAGCTGTAGGTTTGTATACAAGGTACATTTATACGTTCCTTATATATGTCGAGCACGACGCGTACGGTCACATACTTTGATGTTCTTTGTATTACTGGCCATTGTTTTCCTCGAAGCCGGTTTAATCGTGTAGACTCCTCTTGAAAGGTTTGTAGAAGCACTCTTTTGGCCACAGCCATTTTGTGTGCACAAAAGGTGTTTTAGTTCCCAATCTTCCTGTGAGTATCAGGGAAGAGGACTTTTGAGCGAATTTTAATTTTTTTAGAGTGCCGGCAATATGTGCTATTTTTCCAGTTTCGGTAGGCACACAACTTGTGTCGAGCGGACCGAACTTCAATCAATCCTTGAAAAATTCAGTTAAAATTTTTAATCAAATAAAACTCATTTTGGTGATTGTCTAGGTAAGCGCTTTGAAATCCCAGCTTAGTAGAAAAATCGAATTTTCGAAGTAAACTCGGTGGTCGGTTTTTACAGAGACAGCCTCTTAAAAAAATCGCACCATGTTGGCTTGTTCATGGTCGTTACTTGATATATGTTTGAATTCTGAAAAAGCCCACAGAGAGTGAATGGGCTAATCCAAAGCTTTTTCCCAAAATTATTTCCAAAAAAAAAAAGATGCTTGCAAGCAACACATATACATGGAAAAGCAAAGAATCCCTCTATTTTCCTTGTTTAATGAGTCTGACAATTTGTGGCAGTTGACAAAAAGGAAAGCCCCCACAATACACCAGATTAATGCGAGAGAAAATTTCTGTACCTTTGGATACATTCTACTCACAATGGCACAGAGTAGATTAATACTGCACAAAATAAACTGTACCTTTGGGTATATTCTACCCACAAAGGAACAGAACACATTAATGCGAGAGAAAATTAACTGTCTATTTGGGTATGTTCTACCCACAAGGGCACAGAGTAGATTAATGCAAGAGAAAATTAACTGTACCTTTGGGTATATTCTACCCACAAGGGCATAGAGCAGA